CAAGAAATGTGTTTCATATCGTTTGATGAGTATTTGTATTACTGCAGCTCGTTTAAGCGAACCATATATTTACTTGTTTTTACTTACAAATTTTACTACAAAAATATAGTCATCTTGTTATTGACCTAACTATATCGAAAAGAATATTAAATTTACCTTCAGTATCTATTGTTGCTTTTCGTACCATTAATATGGTGTCTTCAATAACATGTGGGATTTTTCAAAACTCTTCTCATAGCTGAAAATAAATTTAAAACTATTTTAGGGTGGAGATGCAGGTTCGTGATTTTTTTTTTTTTTTACATTATTTAAACTATCTTGGCTATAGACTGTTAAAATTTTGTACAATTGTGAATAGTGGAACATACTCAAAAGACTGTTTTAAAATATATATAACAGGTGCAAACATTCTCTGTTTTGAATGCTTAGCAAGATTTAGCAAGGCTGTACATAAATAATAAAAAAAACATGGTGAAAAAAAGAAATGAACGGGATCCTCCATATCATGCACTTTATTTAACTTTTAAGAAAAAGATAATACATTTTAATTATAAACATTAGCAAACTTCTTAAAGTGAATTGTTATGCAAATTAGAAATTATCTCAGCTACTTGTGAGTGCACATCCCAGAACTTAAAAAAATAGCTTCTGGACGCTTTGACCTTTTGTTTTGAAATTTTCACAAATGGTTGACAATGTGTATCTTCAAAACGCCGTCGGGGCATTGTTTTTAGTTGAACAGTGTTACATCAATTGTACAGACAACTAGCCTGGGTGTTAATTTATGCATAAACTTAAAGTAGTGAAATTTGAGCTGCCGCCCTGCAAAATTGACAACTGGTAGACAGTTTTCAAGACGGCACTTTCTTCATAGTAAACAGATGTACCCATAAACCAATTTAGACAGGAAACAGAAGCGAGGTCTTCTTGGTTTCCTAATTAACTAATTAAAATACCTGTAAGGTAAACTGCATCTCTACCTTAAGTATGAAAAAAACTGACATAAAATCAGCTGACTGGTTTACTGTACACTAGTTAACATTCAACAAGTATAATCTGAATTAAAATAAATTCTACTTAATCAATACATATGTTCAAAGGTAAGACATGTTTAATTACACAGTCGTAATTTACTGAATACGGTTATGAAACTCAAAATATATCAATATGTCAGAAAAAAAGCAATAAGTCTTAGATTGAACACTATTTTGTACTGACCATCTTGGTTTTCAAAGGTAACAAAAAACTTGTCACCTTCCTGTCTACATTCTCTGACATAACCACCTCCAGACCGGCGTTCGTTGTCAAAATACTGTTCGATTGTTTCAGACCTCGTGTGTGGGCCGCGACCAGTTACTTCTATAGTACATGTAACATCTGGATACAAACAAGCCGTTCCTGAAATAAGATATATAACCTTAGATACTATATTACCATCCAATATTGAATTTCCGCAACATCCATCGCTGATGTACATGTATAATTACGAAATGAATATGTTATTTGAAGGCCAAAGTGGAATTCCAAAAGCAATCCTTTGTTGCTGTGGGGTACGCAAGCGAGTAAATCTTTTGTTTTTAAAATGCATTACACCCATTAAAGATCCAACCCCTAGATGTAGTGCCAAAAACACAGAATGATCGCAATAAATTCGGCATTCATTTTTCTTCATTTCATTTATTAGTCACAAGCCACACTGTGACTACCCGGCACTGTGACCCATGCCATGGATTTCCTGTTTGTAATAGTACCCAATTGATTCTGGATTCATTGACTCGAGAGGAGAAAAAAACTTTGTGACAACTATGCAAAGTTGATGAATAATAATTGTGGAGTAGGAGCAGGTCCGTATTGTAACGTTCGGTTGACAAAATGGAAGATACGATTCTACCGATTAGACCTACATGATTGTACAAACAAAAAAACGAATTTCAGATTGTTTTTTTTTCTTTTCCGATTTTAAATGTGTTCAGCATTATCTTAATAACTCCTAAAGCGGAGTCCCACAGCGTCAACTGAACGTAGTGTTTACAACTTGCTAACAGAGTGTGTTTCAATAGATGCTGCAATTGGTTTAGGCTCAGTCACATGACATTAAAAAAAACCAAGTGGATATTACATATCACATGGATTACGTCACTGAAACTAGTGCGCAACGATTCTGCGCATAACAAAGCCGTTGGCTTCGTTGGTGCTGTCCCGGTCACTGTTGCTTTCGGGGTTGTTTTTAAGGTTTTGGAGGAATCTAGTCATACGAAATAGACAACGAACGTGCCAGAATGGATATTAAATAAGTTTTGATGTTGTAAGTAATGATATCAATAACATTCATGTGACAGTTATAATATAATTCCGGCCTATCTGGTTCTGTTTTTGCACCAATAATGTCGTATGCTTCACAACATAGACAAATTGTTTCAAGATAAAATATAAATCTAGTCAAAAAAATATTCAGAATTAAATGAAATTAAGTTTAATTAAACCCCCTTAAATTGCAATTTGATTATTGCATTACTTTTTTGAACTAAACTTCAGTTATATTTGATTGAATTAGAATTTTGGCAAGTAGACATACTGTATATCATCTAAACTTAAAACATAAATGCTAAAGCACGTATTTAAGGATGTAGTAGATATTTTTTAAGTACACAGAGAATAAAAACATGAAAAACGTAAGTCAGAACGATTTTGAATTGAGCAATAAATTGCTCTTTGTTTTTACATTCAGTGAAAGCTTTAAGAATTCGTGAATTCAATAAACATCGCTATGATAGTTAGTTTGTATATATTACATCTACAATTTCTGATCTGTTAAGTAACTGCTGAGTAGTCACCATTTGATTGAATATTTTGATGCCAACATTGAAACAAAAAAGGTACACCATTTGCAATATCAATAAATGAAGTGTGGACTGTATTATTACCAAACGCTTCAGCGTGGTATTAAGATTTTGTTTTCAGGCTTGGGTGGTACCAAGGTGGAAAATGGTTGCACATATGGGGGGTAATTCCTGGAATTGCAATAGAGAGGGTTTAGGCCGA